AAAATTCATTCTCTCGGTGCCATGTGTTGTAATGTCCATTTTGGTTTATGTTCTAGAAATAATGTTTAATGAATGTCATGGATTCTTTGGCTGCAGAAAATATAATCCGGGTGTTGTCTTCAATTTGGTCCGAAAAAGAAGATAGAACTCTTGGAGATGCAAGTCCAAAGCATCAACGAAACGAAATAGTAATTAAATTAAATAATTATTTTCTTTTGCCAGTGCTTCTTCATTTATAAAGATTTAAACTTCGTTTTCCAGTGTCTTTTTCCAAATTTATTTATGAATTCTTTTTAAAGTCATAAGATGGCTATAAGTACCTAATCAGGTTAGTAGTCTTTACATTTTGAATTTCTTCTGGATCATAATAGTAATCTTTTAAATTTTAAAGATAGACCTATCAATATCATGGTTTAATATCATAGCATAAAGTAGTGTAACATAGTTTAAACAATTAAGCCGCGGTGATAGCGTAGTTTAGTTTAATAACTTAGAGTTAAAGCCCTAATGTATCTTAAAATTAAAAGGTTAAAAGTGTATTTTCATATGTTTCATTTTCTTCATCATTTTCTTATTTTTTAAGGAATGTGCTCTGTGCATGCACCCAAACCTTTTGGTGTTTTGGCCAGCACCTAAAGGTCCTGTCTTTCTTATTTTTCAGTCTATTGATATTCTCTTTAGGTTTTTTTCCTTCTTCATTTGAAAATTTATTTTCTCAAAGAAGCTTAATGTTTCCAACTGTGTATTTTCTCTTCTTGCAGGTTCGGATGGCCTCTACAATAGTAAGAAATGTTCAGGTTCTTTTTTACCCTTAGTTTAAATATACCATTATTTTAAATGTATCCTTTTTACTACACCGGGAGATTTTAGTGCGTCTCTTTTTGTTGTTGTATTCTCTAATGCCTTTTATCCTTTTATGCTGTATGCTACAAACTACAGTATCCAGTTTCATTTTGCTTAATAATTACCTTATCACCATGCTATGTTTGCCCAACGTTTGACTGGCATTCAAGATCTTTTTTCTTAGACGCTTTTCGTATAAGTATTGTGTGCCTAGAGTTATGGACAAGATTGAGAATATTTTGCACTTATTTGAAGTAGTATTTCAAATAAACTTTAGACTATTTTTCCAATTCGACCGTTTACACTACAGGAGATAATTTTATTGTGTATACATTATAAATATTCTTTCTTAATATTAAAGATGCACAATAAGAAGAATATATTTGAAATTTTAAATATATGAATTTTAATATATTTTCTCCCTTTAATTTGTTTTGATATTTAAAGCACTAGAAATTGTTTTGGTTTGAGTTACTTTATATTTAAAAACTCCACTTATAAAAAAATCTTAATACACCATACAATCCATATATTTGCATATTACTTTTGAGGTCCCTTAACATTTCATGCAGGTTCAGGTAAGTGGCTAAGAATGAATGATTAAAAAGTAAACGAACAAACTATACCTTTGGCAAATTATATGTTGCACAGGAGTGTCGAAATCCCGTTAGAATTTCCTCACCCGTGAGCTCTTAAGCAGCTCCCTTAAGGTGTAACCATTGGAAGAGCCATAGAGAAAGAAATATTGCAATTATGAGTATATATGTAGCTATTTAGAATTAGATTCTTAAACATTGTATAAGAGTTGTATGACCAATTATATAAAGGTTAATAAATATGGAGTAATTCTTAGTACATGCTCCTCAAAGTCTATTTCAACATAATTTACACCTTCCAAAAACTTAAAGTGAAAGCTAAGTTTGACTTGACTCTGATTGAGAGCATCAATTCCTCCAACTCAAATATGTATTTTACTTGAATCACTATATGAGCTTATGGTGATAACAGGTTTGGAAAATGGAGGGTTCAGAGGAAACTGACCACACAAGGGACCACAATTACAAAGAAGTTGCAGACTTAGTGTCCTCTGGATTTTTGTAAGATTTAATATACAAAGGTTGTAAAACTAAGGTCAATGTGGGGAATTTTAGAAAAATGGTTAAGGAATAATAATGCGCTGCCCATGTTCATATTGTTGATACTCAAGTATACCTTTCTTATTTAATTTGCATCAGTTTCTTATGCTAATGAAATAGGGGGTATGTAATACTCCGATGTTTTTCTAGAAGCCTCTTATAGCCTAAAGTATAATCCTGTGGTTGCATGCAGTTTTTTATCTCACTTGCAAATATATGGTTTTGATTTGTTTTACCTTTGATGTAACATAACAATGCTGTTTTGTGTGCTACGTGCTTATGCACAATGTTTGTACACCAGCAGCCATACTACATGTTAATAACTGGAAGCTTAAATTTATAGTATTATGTAACATTGTTTGTTATTCCATATACCATTTGTAGGCAAAATGATAAGTTTATATGTGTTTATAAGTTTATATGTGTTTATTCATCTTAGAACTTCTACTTATAAGTTTATATGTAGGCAAAATTAGCACTTGGGATTCAGTGGAAGAGAGTCTTCGTAGTTTGCACCACGAAAACCAGCCATGGATCCCTGAGCAAAGTCCCGGCTCAGCAGGCAGTTTGCACCACCCAAAGAGGAGAAATGAACCAACTCCGAGAATCTAAAAAAAAGGTGCATATCAAGTGTTTTGAAGAATTTATATGTTGTCGTAGTTTTGGCCTGCCAAATTTTTTAGTTTTTATGTGAAGTGGATCTCAAATGTGATATGTTAGTGGTTTTAGAATAAGGTTAATTTGTTGTGATTCTTGAGTTGGTTTTTTTATGCAAATCACCAAATACTTCCTAAATTTTCTCTACATAGGTATATGTTGTGTGTATGCTTTCATTGCGTGGCACTATGTTTTTGGGAAATTAGCTGCCTGAGGACATATACACTAAAGTGCTTTAAAAAAAAGCTAGAGGTCATATAAAAAAAGAGTTAGCTAGAGGTTAATCGATCATTGCTTGCTCCTTTTCTTGAAGTGAGTGTTGATTATAAAAATTGTTTTGCATAGATGGATGAAGTATTTTTGTTCAGTCTAAAAAACTGTAAATTGTCATTATTTTGTGATTTTCATGTCCCTTGGCAACATAATGCTCTTAGAGTTCACATCATATTATGTGATTTTTTATACATACAGCAGGACTGATGTAAAATAACATAATAAGTCTGTAATCTTGGTTGTAGTTAATGTGAATTTTTTAAGCAGTAGAGAGTATATCTTTCATAATTTGTATTAATTTTTCGCAGGAGTAGTTGCATTTGGTGCTGTTAGATTAGTTTACGAACATTCAAGCACTCCACTTTAGTAGTTTTCTCCCTTTTTTCAGGTGGTTTAAGAGTACGAGAACGAGAAGGTGGTGCCCAACCACGCAGTGCCGGCGAAGACGGAGAAGATCCTGGGAGTCAAGCTTAGAGGAAAATCCAAATGAGCTATGGCAGAATTATAAGGTTCCTGTGTACGTACTTAATTAGCTGACTGAAAATAATGTTTGTAGTGAATGTGATCTTGATGGATTCAAATGCTTGCGATCATTTGGAAGCCAGAATTGCTCTGATCTAAATGGGATTGATGTAAAAAATCTCAATTGATATGAAAATGATATTTGTACTCTTATTCTAAGATCATAAAAAATTTCCTTGCTTTATTCTAAGGTCATTCATTAAAAAAATTAAAATTAGGAAAATGTTTTAGAACACAACTAATCAAATTAGACTTTTACTCTGTATGTATAAATCATGGAGTATTAATAATCTCAGCACACTCGCTCATAGTCTAATTTGCACAAACCATTGCACCATTATTTTGCATTTATCACATGCAAAAACTATTTCACAATTTTATTTATGTCGTATCCAACATTCTAAATTATATTTACCTTTATTTTTTAATTATTTACTTAAAAAAATTAACATGTGTTCGACCCCGTGCGTGGCACGGGTTAAATACTAGTTAATTAAAATATGTCACGAAACATTAGACTTATTGTGGCAATGGTATTGGTGTAAATTCGCAATGTATATAATTGGATCCAAAGCCTAGACAATTTTGAGGCCCATCTACCAAATATGAAGTACTATCTCTCTAGTCTCTCCCTCAATATTTTAGTTTAAAATTTTTGTAGTTATATAAACAAACTTTGACTATTAACTAAACTAAGATTGATATTGAATGTTGAAATAAAAATACTTTTATTTTATTATATAAAATATTTTCAGAATATTATGCATTAAATTAATACGGAGTATGTCATATAATTTTTATTTAATTATAGATTAACAGTAGAAAATAGAAAAAATAAAGAAAAGGGGGGACGTTTGTGCCAATTTCTAAAATCATACGGAGCAGTGGAGCTATTTTACATAATATTTGAAGTATATTTTACATTAAAGAGGCATTGACGTATTAATATCAGAACCATGAACGAGAACAACGTAAGTTTTGAAAATAATGGGATAACGGTGCACATTTTCCAAATCATAAGGGGTCATGATGCAATAAACTCATTTTATTGAATATAAGAAGTAGGGGTGAGCATGGGTCAAGAAGGTTTGAGTTTTATACCGTCCCGCATTTTGTCCTGCTTTCTTCAAACGGTTCGGAGCGGTTTGGGCCTTAAGCTTATCTCTCTTTGATCCTTAATTTTTGGGATTGAGATAAAACAGAGCGGGCTGGGTTCGGATTGTCCTACTTTATCATCATCCAAAATTTGATATAAAAATATAAAATAAATAAGTGAGAGACAACTCATTTTGACTTGCAAAGTAATGAAAAAATAAGGGAACAGAAACAATGTTACAACATACGTCAAAAGTCAAGACTATAAGGTTCTTTTTTACTATGAGCCGTAAATTGAGGTGGGCGGGGTTAGAACAGTCTGTATTTTTTGGTGTTCTGATCCTGGTTCTTTTATTTAGAATATTCGAATATGGATATTTTTTATATCTATTTTGGGAAATAAAAAATTTGTGATCTTTTTTTTATGCGTTATAACAACAACAACAACAACAACAACAACAACAACCCAGGTGAATCCCACAACAGTAGGGTCTGGGGAGGGTGTGTGTACGCAGACCTTGCCCCTACTCGGAAGTAGGGAGGCTGTTTCCAAGAGACCCCCGGCTCCAGCTGCACAAAAATATGGAAGGAAACACAGTATAACACAAAAATATAGAAGGAAACACAGTATAACACAGATAAAGCACCAAGTACAAGCAACAAGTACAAGCAATAGCAGAAGATTCCAAGCAAGTACAACACACTACAAAACAACCTCTACAACACCGAGCTCCTATCCAACTACTCTAATCCTAGTTTTCCAAAGGTTTCTATCTAGGGCCATATCCTCAGTCAGGTTGAGAAGTCCTAAATCCTGCTTAATCACCTCATTCCAATTTTTATGCGTTATATCATTATGTAAATAAATAAGTAGAAATATACATATATACAGGACAACAGAACAGAACGGAAAAATATTTATGTGACCCAATCATGTCCTATTTCAAAACGTTTCGGAACGAGTTCAGGACAAAAGTTTATCGTCCCCAACAAAACAGAACATTATAGAGACGAGATCGGGATGACAACTAGTTTCGAAATTCTTGCCCACCCCTAATAGGGGATGTTTTGAGAATAGAATCTAAAAACATCTGTCTATATTGCTGAAAAATGAAAATCATGTCTTATGGCGTTAAGTGAAACTATATTGCTGAAAATGATCACTTATGGTTGTGAGTTACACTTTTGTCAAACAAAAATACACAAAAAGCAAAACAAATACAAACACAATAACAACATACATCGCAATACAAGTCATTCCCAACACCTGAGGAGTTGAAAAACAGTGCAAAAGTAAGATTACAGAAGGGGAATTATGACATTGTTTTTCTTTAGTTTTTTTTTTTGTTTTTATTTATTTACCCCCTTGAAGCAAGTAGTTGAACAAGATTCTAACAGAGAGGCAGAGGAGCACCATTCCATTCTTTCAAACAGTCCAGCAATGGGTCTATGAGTTTCCCTTCACACATGGCTCTCAACACCTTGTCACATTCCTCACCCGGAGACCTCGTTTTCTCGCCCGTCAAAAAACCCGTCCCCAGTTCCTCCCTGACGAACTTGTAGAGCGGGTAAGACCTGCATTCCCGGATACGGTTCGGGATTGCGGGCCGCCCGCTCTCCAAGTCGCCCCTCGCGTTCTCCATCTCTTTTGGAAGAACGGCTTTGAGCTCTTCCTCAAAGGCGCCGATCTTGTGGAAAATGGACGTGTTCGGGTTCCTCTCGGACTCCCCATTGGCCAAGGCGTGGTTGACTAGGACTTGCCTTAGCTTCTGCATCAACGGGTAGTTGGCGCTGCACGGGTCGTCCGCGTACCCGAATACGTATTCTCGGTCGACCACTTTGAGAAGCTCCTTCTCGGAGAATCTAGAAGGGTGTAGAAGCTCCCCGTTGAAGCCGAGCGTCAGGACTTTCTTGGCGACAAGGGTGACCGCGTTTTTCGCGGCGGCTTTCAAGTTCTCCTCAAGGTGTCTTAGGTCAAAGGCTTGGCAAAGTGCAACCATGTATGTGGCAGACATGAGCTTGAGAATCTCAACCGCCTCGGCGGTTTTCCGCGACGAAATCAAGCCAAGGGAGTTCACGTCTTGGTTGTGTTGCTCTGCGCTCTGGACGTGGTTCGTCACCGGGTTTCCGAGAAACTGGAGCTCGGAGCAGTATGCCGCCATTGCTATTTCCGCCCCTTTGAACCCGTAATCCAAGCTCGGGTTCCGGCTGCCCGAGAGATTTGAGGGCAGCCCGTTGTTGTAGAAATCGTTTACGAGCTCCGAGAACTGCGCGAACATCAGTTTTCCGATGGCGGAGAGGGCTAAACGGACATTATCCATGGAGACTCCGATCGGGGTGCCCTGGAAGTTCCCTCCATGTAAGGCCTTGTTCCTGGAGACGTCGATCAACGGGTTGTCATTTACCGAGTTGATCTCTCTCTCTATCATCTTCGTCGAGGCACGGATGACCTCAATCTGAGGGCCTAACCATTGCGGGGACGTCCTGAGGGCGTAACGGTCCTGCTTAGGCTTTAACAGGGGATCCAATTCATGGGCTCTCTTGGCCTCCTTGACATATGAGCTCCCATCTAAAACATGTTCCATTATTGCTGCAGCCTCTATTTGGCCTGGGTGGTGTTTCAGCTTATGTGTCAAGTGGTCCGTGAACTCCGGCTTCCCGTGCATGACCTCAGCGAACAGCGCAGATAAAACCTCGGAGAGAACGGCCAAAACATTGGCGTCGAACAGAACCATCGACGCCAAGCCGGAGCCAACGGCGGTGCCGTTCACCAAGGCCAGCCCTTCTTTGGGCTGCAGCTCAAAAAACCCGGACTCGATCTGGGCCTCTCTGAAGGCCTGTTGGGCGTTCAGGAGCTCCCCTTTCGGCCCAACAGCCTTGGAGTTCGGCCGGCCCGTTAACAGCCCAGCAATGTACGACAGCGGAACCAGGTCTCCGGACGCCGTGATGGTCCCACGGAGGGGCAGGCACGGAGTGACATCGTGGTTGAGAAGCTTCGTTATGGCTTCCAAAATCTCAAACCTGATGCCGGAGTAGCCCTGAAGTAGGGTGTTGATCCTCACCAGCATGGCTGCCCGTGTAGCCGAGTGGGGCAGCGTGTGGGACGATTCCACCCCACACCCGAAAACCCCCGCATTCAAGAACCTGTTCAAGTACAGTTCAAATTGAACAAAAGTCAAGAGTTGATATACATAACCTGACAAATGGCACCCCAAAAAACCAACTATTGACCAGTTCCAAGAATAACAAATCCATAGTATCATAGAAACAATCATTACCTAGCAAAAGAATGCTAAAAATGGGGTTTTGGCAGTGTGGGATAAACCACAGAATTGCATGCATATAATAACAAGAAATTACACATTTTGCAGAAACAAACAACACAGGGCATGAATCATAAGCTGTCTCCTGTATGTCTGGTCCTAACAGCTAAGACCCAAAAAATAAAGAAATAAAAAATAAAAAAACAGAGCTGCTGACATAAAAAAAATAGATCTCCCGTGACTATCACCGATTCAGAACTTTCATGTGCATGTGTTGTCATTCCTAACGGTCCGTCACATGAGAATCATATTTTTATGTCATCCCAAGAATATTTTTTGAAAAAATGCTAGGGGTACACCACCCCATATGTCCCCCACCACCTCCTTGTCCACTAAAAAAGGCAAAAAAAATTTAAAAAAATAAGTAAATAAAAATCAAATAAAAATGTGTGGTGGAGAAAGGGGTGGTGTACATTTGAGGTATACCTTTTGGTGTACCCCTAGCATTGCTCATATTTTTTATACATGTCCCCGTAATTAAATTTACACTTTCTTTTTTAAGATATCCCATTAGTACAGTCTCACAAGCTTTAAAATTTTTGAAAATATTAACTTGCTTAAATAAATATATGTATATATATATGAAAAATGTTTTTTTAATTAGTACTCATGATTAAAAAATCACTATTTTAGGAGGGGGGAAATTGAACATATTGAAGGAACAACAAAGGGAACCTTTACAAGAAGAGCCTAGGAGAAAACTATTTTTTAACTATTTTTGGAGCTTCCGTTGCGCCAAATCACATGAGAACTATTTATGGCACTCTGCCAAAAGTCTCCCTGTCTTCCTTTTTATTTAAGAAAAAAGGATGGACCCCATTCTCGAAAGCCCCTTCACACCCGTGTGCGAGAAGAAAAATTTGACTTTAATTACAGATAATTCGAGTATTAGACCTTGGACACCTCTTGCTTTGTCAATTGCACTAGCCCACCGGCTCATTTTTATTTGAGAGAAAACATCATTTATTCCAGGTTCTAAAATTTATCAATTCTTGGGTAGCTTTCCACCAAATGAATACTCTAATTTAATCTTAATTTGGTCATTAGAAAAATTGTCTCGTGTCTTGTGCGCACAAAGAACTACTCTTTCCGTACCAAAAAATTCTTCTCTTTTTCTTTACTTGTCCCACAAAATATTTCATATTTCTATTAAAAACCACTTTCAAAATTAGCAATACCTACCAACCAAACGACATAATTGTGTCAATATCCAATAATCCATAAAGCATCCACCTACTACCACCTAATCCCAACAGGAAAGCTTTACTAAAAAAACAAAAGCAATAAACTCTCAGTTCAACGGATTATTTTTTATTTACCTCAAAATCATTTATCTCTTTTTTCTGTTTTTTTAAAAAATACTCCAACTACTCATTTTAAACTTTTCAATATATTTTCAATATTTCTCGTATTCTACGTGAAGTCAACATGGGAGAACTAATTCGGGGAGTACAATTATTTCTCTTATAGTTGTCAAAAAAATTACTCAACTCCCCCGTCCGGTCTCTAATGTTACACTTTGAACATAATTATCTATTTTATACATAAATACTCTGTATATTTTATAAAAAAAATGATATTTCAAAACTATGTCTCATTAGAAATATATTGATATTAAATTTATATCATAATACAATATATTTTTTTCATAAATTGAAGTCAAAGTTTACAAACTTTAACAAAAAAATCAAATGTGAAAAACATTTTCGGACGAATGGGATATTTCTCTTATTTATCACTATTAATTTATTACTCTATCAATGTCATATCTTAGTTTCCACCATAAATTACAGAAAAATACATTAAATTACTCCCTCCGTCCCTTAAAATTTTTCTTTATCTCTTTTTTTATCTGTCCCAAAAAATCTTTCTCATTTATATTAAAAAAATTACTTTCACCCCTACTAATTTTTAACCTACCAGTCATATCACACTTTTTCACTATTAATTTATCTATCACGTCCTACTTTTACGCATCACATCCAAGACTTTTTTTGAAAAGTCAACACCAAAATACACTCCTTTTTAAATACTTTAAAAGTCAAAAAGTGAAAAGTTTCGTGGGATGGATGAAATATTAAATAAATTTAATTCAAATAGATTCATTTTAAAACATCAATTTAAAATATTTTTCCGTACAAATAGAAATATTAATAAAAAAATATTATAACAAAGAACGTGAAAAATCTAAGTGGAAAAAAGATATATAACGAAGAATAATTTCAAGTTTTGACGGTCTTCTAAAATAATTCCCAAAGTTTATACTACGTAATGATCTTCATCCAAACAGGATTTACATTCCAACGCCGTTAATTACGAAGTACCGAGTACTCCCTCCCTCCTCCAGTAGTTGTCCACTTTCATTTTTACACATCATCTAATGCACTTCTTTAATTCATTTTATCTTGTAATTTGTATATATAAAAAAATTATAAAAATTATATATTAATAATCTATATGTTAAAACAAACCAAACAAGACACATGACTATATTTAGGCTTACACATTGAGAGTATTTGATGAGTCAAAGTGCTTAGATGAACAGTTCCAAAAATCAAAACTGGACAAATATTGGAGGACAGAGGGAGTATTTATTAACTTTTTGATAATTAAGGGAGTATGAATTTATGACTCAACTTAGACCGTTTGAAATTTTGGACTGAAACAATAATTTTGTCTACATCTTTTTATCTTTTTTTTTATCTTCCTTTTATTCATTGTTCCCGTCTTCCCTCTCCACCCCCTTCTTCCCTTTCCCCTCTCCTTCCCCTCAACACCCACCCCATACCCTTATAGGCTCACATAAAAATGTAGTCTTTCCATTCCAGTTTTGATTACAATCTTTCCTTCTTTTATCTTTCGATAATTTTTATTTATTTACGTATTTTCATTGATTATTTGATAGAATAAAAAATTCTTGTCACCTCTTATTTTGTACCGTAGAACTTTTTAAAAAATTTAATTTGTAATTTTTATTTTTTATTGATGTAACAATTTTTAAATAAAATGATTTCAAAAGATACGAAACTTTACCTCGTAAATCTCAATCTATAATCAAATTTGAAACGGAAAGAATACCAAACTTAGGTTCACATGACTTCACAATAGAATTTACCAACTTTTAAAAGTAACAAACATAAGTAAACAAAAGGAGAGGACATCTACTTATTTAACTACGTTTATTTTATTGTTCTTCTTGATGGGCAAATACAATTTATGAAAAAACTACCTTTTCAACCATGGCCAAATTGTGTCAACATCCATTTCATTTTTCAATGCTATTTTAAAAATTTCAAATCAAATCACTTTAAATAGGACTAAAACATAGAAAAAGTATCAAAATAAGAATTTCATATCGTTATTTCTTAAATAGGAATTCGCATTGTAGTAATGTGACACTGTACATATGCATTTTACGTAATGTACATAACTATGATTCGTAATGTAAATACAGAGTACATTATTAACTCCTATTTCGAGTATTAACTCCTATTTCGAGAATTAAAACATAGAACTTCTATTTTGATATATTTTTGATGTTTTACTCCTACTTTAGTCTTCACTGAAATCTCAATGAGACATTTAGACGTTATTTGAGAACAACATTTTCTATTAGATGCTAAATACTCAAATTGTAGAACGAAGAGTGACTAGAAGTAAATAAATGCCAAGTACAAATTAGGGTGTAAATATTTAAGTAAAATTAGGATTTAAAAAAAGAAAGGCTAGTTTAAATTAGGAATGATTGAACTGATTAATACGGAGTAAAATAAAATTACCTAATAAGCTCTTTCTGAAGAGCCGCGCCTTGCTTTGTCCGTCTATGCGACGTCGCACCGAACCCGGTGGTGACGCCATAGCTATCAGTCCCCTTCTCCATTCCTTCCATCACCCAATCGCTGCTCGCCTTCACGCCGCCCCTGGCCGCCTCCGACAACTCCACCTTCACCTCCCGCGCGGCAATCGCCGCCACCTGGCCTATCGTCAGCGACTCCCCTCCCAGGCGCACCGTCCCCCTCCGGTAATCCTCCACCATTCTCCTCACCTCGTCGAGGTGGCTCCCCTTCATCGCCTCCGCCGCCGCGTCCCAGTTCAACGGGTCCCGCCGCGCGCAGCAGAACTCCTGCGAATGTCCGTTTCCGTTTTCCATTCCGATCGGCGCCGGGCGGCGAGGATCAATCGAGAAATTCTGGGGGGAATTCTGGAGAAGGAAGGGGGTTGGGAAATTGCAAAGCTTGGGGAAAGGGGCGGTTTTGGCTTTGGCTGAATTTCCTGAATTTCTGAGCTCCGGAAATTGGTGTTTAAATAGGGAGGAGAGAGAGAGATTGGGATTTTTGAGAGCGTTGGGTGAGGAAGCCAATGTGGCAGTGTGTTAGTTGAGATGTGAGGGCGGCCGTTGGATCTTCAACCTCCGTACACGGCCACGATACCGACACGTTGATCAAAGCTTGATGTGCATGGCACACTTGGACTCCTTTTGAGTTTTGAGCCTAGTTTTTAGAAGTGAACTGGTTATCAAACTAGTAAAAGCACTGATTCACTGGATGAACCAATAGTTCGAATGGTTAAACTAGTGGTTCATATGTATTTAAAATTTTTGAATTATATATGTGTGTGTGTGTGATAATAATATGTAATTAAAACAATATTTCTTCTATCTATATACTCCGTATAAAGAATTTATGATGTATTATTAAATTTACAACCAATTTAATGTATTTGAGTAGTAGCATTTATACCTGCGCAAATAAGGATCCGGGCCGGATCTAGGCCAGACTTGATACAAATTATTAGCACATTTACATGGGCGGGCTTGGCCCGACCCAGATTTGATGGGCTAAACGCTTTACCCATACCCGTCCACCTTAGCGGGCCGAACTGCCCACCGGGCCGTCCGGCCCGTATAAAACATCAAGAAAATCTTTTTTACACAAAAAAATCAAAAAGAAAATATTGAACTCGTTTTCAAATGTTTAAAATAAAATTACCACTCGCCACATTTACATAGAAAACATAATAGAAATATTGTTACATAATTAATAAACCCATCATACAGATTCATTAAAAGACTATTGATTTTTGTTTAAGAGGGGTGAGTGATATGAACTATTATACATGAATTAAAAAAAATTTTAAAATTTATATTGTCTAGGTAATTAATAATAAAGTAAATGTATTTAATGAATATGGGCGGGCCTGTTGGCCCGGATGGGCTAAAAGTAACTTCTAGATCCGCCCAAATACAATTCGGGCTTGGGCCGGCCCGCCCATGTGGGTATTAAAGATTGTCCATATCCGCCCATTTTAAAGAGCGGGCCGGACGGCCGGCCCTTGTTTGCACAGGTCTATTAAATTGAAAAAAATTACATTCTATGGGTATTTAGAAACATTAAAAGTTTATAAAATAAGAGCTTATTTTTTTGTTTAATAATTTACCCAATATTTTCAAAAATTCAAATTAGTTAATATTTTCGGGGCATGTACTTTGTATTAGTATCAATTGCATTAATGGATAAGAGTTTGAATCGCAATTTTAACCTTATATTTTTCAAAATTATAGAGATGAAAAGTAGTCTTTTTAGCATATGTATTCATTTAACTATGAGCTATTAAACTAAATTATTTTAATAATTAACAAAAAGCAGTGTAGTTCAGATGGTGGCTACCTTTGCTTAAAAGTATATGGGGTCTTGTATTCGAATCTCACTAGCCAGAACTTTTGGAAAATTTGGATGCAAAAAAAATTGGTTTTCTGGTTTAATTGGTCAGTTTGTTCCGGTTTGAGCCAGTTCGATGCACAAAGCGATCTTCAAGGCTGGACCGGACTAGTTTGCCTACTAGTTTCCGATCCAAACTGACCGGTCTGGTTCGATTTTCAAAGATGTGGTTTTGACTATAACTTAGAAGTAAAAACGAGGTATACCCGGGCTTGTGTACACCAAGTCTATACTAAGTTTGTCACAAACATACATAGACATCAATTGTACACAGATAGATAGTTAATATTTGTGTGTGTTTATGACAAGCTTAGTATACAAAAGTTGAAGTACCCTAGCAAAAACCAACATAGAATTTGATAGGATGCAACCTAATTTGTTACCAAAATAAACTGATGTGACATTTTAGTGAAGAGGATAACATCACTCCTTACAAATGTTGTAGATCGCAACTTCAATTCTCGTGCAAAGACTTCTGATTTTGTTACAGTAGCTACAATATCTTTTGTGTCATCTTCGAAAAAAATAGCAACTCTAAAAGGCCAAAATAAAAAACATCTCATAACAAATAGTGTTTCCTACCTAGTAAAATTCTAACAAAAATATGAAATTTTATTGTGTCAAAAGACCAGCTAACACTACAGAAATAACAGTTCACATAATAAAATCTAGGGAAAATGTATGTATATAGATTTTTTTATTGAGTATGGAATATATATATTTACTTCTGACTAACTGGAATGTGAAACTAAGCAACGAAATAAGGACGAACGGACTATACAAAAATGACTATGTGTGTGCAACACATTTGGATGCAAAACATAATTTGGAAAACCAGGGCAACAAGTCAATAACACCAATCATTTTTTTCTTTAGAGTACATAATTAGCTTAGACTAAATTTCAAAATAAGGCCAACAACAATTATTATCATAGAACAACATTACAAAATATTTTTCCTACAAGATATTTATCTTTAAATTTGGCGAGGCAGTTTGGGAATATTGGTGATGTTGTAAAGATGATCAAAGATAAGCAGAGAAATATTTGCTTGACAATATAGCTAGGTTGCATGCTACAATGGCATTTGGAGGTCTAGGAATGGCAAGTTTCACCAAAAAAGAGATCAAAGAATAGAGAACTATAGATTTTATACTTTAATTTTCCATTTTTAATTTGGGTAGTTTCTTTGTTTAATAAAAGGCAACTATGTAAAAGTTGTTTACAGTTTGTAGAAGTGTGGCTATTTTTTGCTAAGTTGAGTCATATAACTTGTGCTTTTAATTCAAAAAAGAAATCTATTCTTTCATTTTAGTTATCCTAGGATGCAATAATTTTCACGCTCTGCAATAATAATTAGAATTAGTGTTGGGGACAAAATGTTTTTTAATTATAAATTGTATCATTAATTAAGTTTCTATTGATCCGCTGTCGGTCAATTATGATGTATAGTGCAAAGTGATGGGCATTTAAAAGATTTACACTCATCTACAACATGCTAGAGATATGCGCTTGTTGCGGTAGATAAGTGAAAAGACGATGATATATAGGATTAGCAACAAGGTTATTCGAGGGCGGATAGGAGCGGCATCCGCGAAGGATAAGCTGCGAAAGGTTAAGTTTAAGTGGTTTGGGCATGTGAGACGGTAGGGGATATAATCGTAAATAGAAACGTTATGAAAGTTACTCCCTCCGTCCTCAAATTAACTTCCCATTTGACTTTTCACGGTCTCCAATGCGGCACTTTGACCATTAATATCTCTATTTTTATATGAATATATATTATCAAAATAATATATTTCAAAACTATGTTTCAAAATGAATCTATTGATACTAAATTTATATGAAAATTCAATATATTTTTTCGTAATATGCAGTCAAAATTTAAAAACTTTGACTGCAAAAGTCAAAATGAGAAATTAATTTTAGGACGGAGGGAGTATTATGATTTTGGATAGACGTCATGAGCTTGAACTGGTGATAGTTTTTGCACTTGTTATTGTGCTCTTTTAATGCTGGATGCCTTTTCTTTGTCTTGGGTTTCTTTTGTTAATACTAGTTTATTCTTTATATTTTGTGTTCTGTGCTTTGACTGCTTTCTTTGAATTATGTCTTCTGTGAGACTGTGAGTTTGTGTTATATATGTTACTTGAGTAAGGGATCTTTTACAAAAAAAATTCCTACTTTCGGATGATTAAGAGTAAAATCTATGTACACATTGAAATGAAAAAGTAACACCAAATTTAAGTATCTGACTAGACTTAGTTGTCAACCTTCTTGTTTTCATTTGTCCGAAATTAGTTGTCAACTTTTTTTATTCAATAAACAAATTGTGACGAATTGTCAAAAATATCAACGTTGAATAACAAATTCATTTAAAGAACATTTTTGATATTTTATACTTAATTCTTAAAAATAAGATTTTTTTAAATGAAGGTCCTGATCGAATTGTAGTCTTTTCTTCCTTTTTTTCTTCTTTTCTTCCTTCCGTATATTTTATTCTCCAAGCTGAATATTGATCTAGTTTTAATGACTTTCATCAAAATGCAAGTAGATTGCATTTTTTGAAATAAAAAAAATTGTTCTGTGTTTTACTTTCATATTGGCATATTGCAATCGATATAATATGCACCATTAAAAAATAAAGAAAAGATTGACACAAATACTCTCAAAAATTCACATTTTTATATAAATACTTTCAAGTCCCTTAATTTACATTATTACTCCCAAAATTGTCTCATATTTATATCGTTATTCCGGCATTGCTTAGTCATCATGTTTGATACCTACGTGGCTCTATTAATGCTAAGTTGACAATTTAAAAGTGTCAACTTGTAATTTTTCATTTTAAACAACCAAATTAACATGTCTTAATTGTCTTCTCATCATCTTTTCCGCACATCTTTTTCTCTGTTTAACTTTCTAAGGATCTTATTCTTCCTCTAAACTTTTTGAATCGGATATGAGTTTATTAAGGCTGGTCTAATTTAGTCTCGTCCGAGGGACTAGACCTGAATGAATCTGATATGATGTGAACGGATCTAATCCATCTAATTGTAGTATAATTTAAATCTGATCTGATTAAATTGTCAATTCAGCATTAAAAGAACACAGATGATGACTAGCTAGGCAACACCGGAGTAACAATATAAATTTGAGACAATTCTGGGAGTAATGGCATAAATTAATGAATTTGGGAATATGTATGTAAAATCGTGATTTTTTGGAAGTATTCGTGTGAATTTTTCCAAAAATCAACCAAAACGCTAATGTTAATTCAAAGTGTTGTCCCGGCCAGCAAATTTTGACAGTCACATCTTCTTCTACCAAACAGGCAATTTGTTCAAATTTGCTTGAGACAACAGTATATTCACCAAAACATGTAAGAATGCCCTGATCAGTTTTGTTATGTTTTGGGGAACTAATACACAACCTTTAAACCGTAGTTAGGTATTAAGTATTTATACCAACCCTCAACTCTCTGTGCAGTATTCTCCACTTGATATCAACTATGATAATGAACCACATACCATCCTCAAAACTCATCCCTGATT